GGTACACCTGTGATGGTACTGGTACCCCTGGGAGAAAAATTGGGTAAGAGTACCAGAATGATGACACATGTAGATTACATTTTATATTCTCATATGAGAAGTTACTTCCTTCATTAATTGTATTCTTAAAACCTGAGCATAATCTGATATATATAGGGAGAGAAAATCAGGTGTGACACCAAGAGAACCTCATTTTTAAGCAAACTCCAAACTTGCACTGTTTCAGTATCAGTAGGGAGATTTAAACAAAGGTGTATTTTAATCTCTTGAGGTTATTACAGATTTAATACTAGCCAGATAGTGTCAAAATAAAGCTGATCCAAAATGTACTTTGAGAGTATATTCAAGAAAAGTCAAGAAAAGTTAGTGATGTATGGCACCATACAAACTGAGAGAGACTGTTCTGACTCAAACTGAGCTAGCTTTAATGTCTCTGCACAAGTTTCATAGTTAATGCAGAACCTGAAAATTTGTTTTGGATGATCAAAAACTGACTGTATCTGTGGTATACCGAGGGGAAAAAAAAAAACAAGGTTTCAAATTCTGACCAATCTAGCAACAACAAATGAATCTGAGGGGTTCAGAGGATAGCTGAAGTTTGAAGTAACTTCTTGCAATCATCTGGTCTACTCTCCCAGCTCAAAGAAGAGGTGTCCAGAACCTTCCCTAGTCTGATTTTGAAATATCCATGGATGGATACTTCCACAGCCTCTCTGGGCAACCTGTTCAGATGTTTGATCATCTTTACCATAAAAAGTTTTTTTCTATGTTTAAATGGAATTTCCTGAACTTCAGTTTTCACCCATTGTCTCTTGCCCTTTCTTTGGGCACTAACAGGAAGCATCTGGCTCTTACAACACACTACCTTGTTCCCCTACCCTTCTAGTCAAAAGGTGTTTTCCTAATGTCCTCCCAAGCCACACTGTATGCCCACTGACCCTTCTTATATACTTTGCCACAAAAGATAGAAGTTTGACTCTGTCATCGCTGTAACTGTTTCTACTGGTAGTAATCACCCTTTAGGCTTTTCTTTGCCAGGAAGAAACAAGCCCAGTTCCTTCAGCCTCTCCTCGGAAGTGATATGTTCTTGGGGGTCCCAACCAGTTTGTAGCCTCTCTAGTCTCTCTCCTCCTTGAACTGGGGCCAAGACTAGATGCTGTATCCCAGACAGGGCTTCCTAAGCACCAAGTAAAGGGTAATTATAACTTTCTTTGATTAACTATCCATGTTTCTCTTAATGCAGTCAATATGCGGTCTGCCTTATTCACTCATTTGTCCTCATTCACTCATCCTGTCCTTGCTCTAAAACATAAATATCTAAGCATTATTTGAAATTAATCAGTAAGTGTAATGACATAGTTAACCTAGGCTGCTCTTCAAAGATAGACCCGAGAGTCCACTGTTTCATGTTCCAGTGGCAAATCTGTTCACCTCAATGAATTAACATCACAGAAAATAATAAAATAGTTCCATCCAACTGAGCATTTCTGAGCCAGTCTGATACTTGGCACACTGACTTATGCTGCTGGTCTATGTGATGAGTCAGAGCAGACTTCTGCTGTAAGAATAGAGTCCATCTGAAAATCAAAGATAAATCTTCCTTAGTCAAGGAGGTCAGGCAGTAGCACAAATTCCAGAGTCAGTGTGTGGTACATGCAGGATCTGTTTATCTCCAGAAAAGTACTTCAAAGCCAGAGCATGACTTTTAGAAGTATTGACATGCATCTCCACCCATCCCTTCAAAAACTCTCACTCAAAACCTAAACCTTCCACCCTGGCCTAGACAAGAGACCTTGGCTGAAGGCCCAGCAGTTCTTGCAGTCTGCCTAAACCAGGCTTGGGTGGACCCTGAAATGGGATACACTCTCTCTCCTTTCATTATAAAGGCAATGGTTTAAAGATAAGCAGTGAAAGAAAAGGGAAATGAAGAGAATTGTATTCAAACTGTTAGAAACTTCAAGAAAGGGTAAGGGTTGGGGAATTAAAAAATGAACATTATCTTTTTAGAATAAAGAAGTAGTAAATTGAGAAAATTACTTGTGTCCTCTGCAAGGAGTTTAGCAGCTTCCACTCTCAGTAGCTTCAGTGGGAGAGGCTGTATTTTGTCAGCTTCTCCCTATGTTTAGCAAAACTCTGTGCCATCTGAAACACTTATCTCATGCTAAATGGTCATATGCCAACTATTGTGATGATGTCTGATCTTGCTGCCCAAGTGGAATTACACAATGACCAAGAATGGAAATAAGTAGGTGTTTAAAAGTAGTTGTGCTCTTAATGACATGCTTTTGGAAGTCCCTGACTCCTTGAGCTATGGCACTGTTTTAGAAAACATTGGTACCCAATGACACCCCTCCCCTTGACTGCAACCACAGCCATCAAACCAGCAGCTTCAGAAGCATCTGCAGTACTAGAGGGTGACCCAAGGGACACTTGTCCCATGCCTCGCAAGGAAGACAGTGTGCTCCCAATGAAGCAGCACACACAAGGCCCTGGAGCTTGTGCCTATCATGGGGTTACAGTCAGAGAGCAGCAAGAACAGGATTGTCCCATAGAGGAGAAGAAGTCAACAGCCAACGGTGACCCCAGCACAGACCATACCCTCAACCAACAAGGCATGATCCCATAGGGTCTGTAACAGGGGCCACAGAGCAGCATAAGGGAGGAACCAGGGTCAGTGTTCACCCACGGGCTCCAGTCAGGAGCAAAAGGAGATGGAGCTGAAGACAGATGTGGAGATAAGCTGCAACATATGACTGAGGGATCTGTTCAGGACTCAAGGTAGATACAGAGTAGGTCCAAGGTCCATGGTGGAGACAGGGCTGGAGATAGTCACACCTACAACATAGCTCAGGACAGGACTGAGTGCCCATTTGTGACTTTACAGAGAGCCCCTGGGCAGAGGAAATGCCAGTGAGCACCCCAAGTGAGGCCAGCTGAGGCCAGTAAGGCCTATCAGCGCCCTCGAGGCACTAAGTTACCTCATATGGCCCTGATTCCAGGAGGACACATTTCACTGTGTTATGGAAAGATACCATCTCAGCAGGAGAAAGCCAGAAACAGAGCAGCCCAAGCAGGAAGCACAAGCCATCAACCCAGCTCTCATTGATGGAGACTAAGCACAGAGAGGCCAGATCTTGTTTGCAAGGAATCACTAAACCTTGTCCTGAGACCAGCTGATACCAGTAAGGCCTCACAATCCCTGTTGTCGACAGCTCATTCGCATAATTCATGGCTGCCTCCAATTATCTGTGGGAGCTTTGCAGGCTGGACTCTCCGCTTGTGAAGGAGGTTCCACATGGGCAGGCACTTAATGAACAGATTGGATTATAAACACTAGCTAATCTTTCCCACATGTACACCTGAAGAATATCACAAGTGACAGCTGTTTAAATTTCCAAGGAAATTAATGATTCCTAAAGAGGCAAAACTTATCAAGGCTTTGACTGGGCCTGATAACAGACAACCTCCAAAGGGCAAATTGTTTATAATAGTCTATAAGTGCCTCATTCTATGGGTTCATTTTGGAAACTTTTATTGGCATGGTCCCTTTTATTAATGGTTGTGCTGGCAAAGACTAGAGCAGCTTGGTTCAATCTGCTGATGATATTAGGCTACTAAGGCCTCTAATGAGCACCTCGTATCTTCAGGTCACAGTCAGTTTAAAGTGATTGGTACTGGGACCAGGATACCATGGGCTCTGCTGAACCCTAAGAGATGGCTGCCTTGTGCCTGCCCCATGCAGTGCTCGTGTCCTTGCGGGACTCATTTGTGAGGCTGCTGAAACATTAACTCATGTGTAGTGAGTCATTTGCTGCATTCACTGCGTTGAGATTTGGGGATTAGAGGAGGGTAGTGGGAAGAGGGCGATACCGATTTACTGTGAGACTATAACATTTCCTGACAGAATACATACGGAAGAAGAAAACTCTTTCCTCTATCCCCTTTTGCAGAAAGCCTGTACCGTTACATTAGCATACAAAACCTCCATCAGTCACCCTGGCATTCCTCCTTCCCCATGAAACATGTCACAGGACATGTTCTCATTTCTAAGGGGACTTTTCAGAGCCTGATTCTATTCCGAGGAAGGCATCATGAAAAAAGAGCATCCATCTTGGCCTGTGAAAGTTGCAACATGGAAAGATCTTTATTAAGCTCAGGGGTGAAGAAAAGAGAATTAGCTACAGCAAGTAATTTTCCTGAAGCTACAAATAATGCAATTCCCATGCAGAACTTGGTTGCTATGGGATTATTTTAAAGTTCAAACTTCTCTTCCTGGTTAGTGAGTGTTTCACAAATAAGCATGGAATTAATTTAAATTCAAGACTACAGACAAAACAAATGGGCCACAAATGGTTTATAAATGTTTTCTTGCTTAAGAATAGCTCTGTGATCCATCACTGAGTTCACTGCTGAAGTGTCTGGCCACAGCAAGAGACCTGTTCCTTCTGCCACACTGGTGTAAACCAGAATTGATTCATTTGAAACAAATGGGTGAAGGTGATGGTTAAAGTCAGACTAAAGCAAATCAAACTAGGAGGAGTCTGACTTGTGTTTTATCTAAACCCACGGTAATATTACCATCTGACCCACTGCACTCAATTAAGCCGCTTTTGTATGTATGTCATATATTCTGCAAAGCAGTTCTTTCCCCGTTTATATTCATATAATTACACCAACTCTGCTTGGTGAAGATCTAACTCAGTATTTGCAAATTTTAATTCCTCTGTCATTCAGTGTCAAAACTAGTTGAGAACTTCACTTAAAGAATGTTGGAGCCTCTCATGACTGGGTAAATAATTTCTGTATAGGTTATTTCTTTCTCTGACTAGCACAACATTTCTTCTGGTAATAAATAAGAAAGACAAGTAAACCACTGATCTTAATATTGGATTAATAAATAATGGATATTTTAAAACACAACATTCAGGCAGAAGATGATCTATATACTCACAGTGCACATGCATACACGCACAGATACATCATTTCCTCAGTTTTATTTTAGGACCTAGCATGATTGGGATACTTCTTCAGATGCTGAATATCTGCCACAGAGAATGTCCTGTTATAACCATAACAATGTGGTACTATACTAGGAAAATAACTCAATTTGCAGGACATTTGGAATCTTTGTTAGTTACGATTTTGGCCTGAGGTGAAGAAACCAAAACAGCCAGCTTAAGTAGGAGATGTTGCTAACAGGTAGTAGGACTGCTTTGGTCAAATTGACTGTTTACTAACTTGCTGCTAGATTTCTAACAAAATAAAATTCCTGAACATCATAGGCAAAGATACAGCTGTACATGGGCCCCTCAGTGGCTAATACAGCACTTTTTAATCAACTTCTAAAACCTCTGTCCTTAAGTGACAAATGTGAAGAACACATACAAAATGAAGGTATGTGTGATGCCAGTTGGTTTATGGCAGACAAGGGAAATGCTGAAGCTATGTAGAACGAATAAGACTTTCCTGAGCTCACCTTGGTTTTTCTTCCCATGATTCTCACATCTAATATTCCATGTTTGTCTTGATATGAAGACTCTACTCCCCTGCCTGGCCCAGGGAAGCTGCATCCCCAGAAGCTGGAGAGAACAGATGGACCCACCTGTATGACAGTTACACTTTCATGACAGGCAAGAGAGGAAGAATTGAGGAAAGGGAGAATGACTTCTTTTCCACAATGGCTTTTCAGCTTTGCCGTTGTTATCAGTGTTATACTAGTCCTGTCTTAATGCAACTAGTTTTATAATACACTTGCACACTACTCGAGGAATTTCTTTCCTTTTGAGGACCACTGTTCAGATGCCTATGCCTGATTCTCAAGGTCAGAAATCTCTATCTGGTGAAAAAGCTTCTGTGGCAGGCAGTCCAACAAAAAAAGCAGTGACTGCCTCTCGTGGATCCTAATGAGGGCATATGCAATAGGATCTGGGGGGAAAAAAAGACTCAACAAAACCCTTTTCTTACAGGACTAAAATTTTGCTCAAATGGGCTGAGAGAATTTACAAGATTATGTGCAACAGTGCCATCTGATGGGCTTACTCAAAAGGGTAAACAAGATGATGAAGTAATCCTCAGGCCTGGCAAACTACCCTCAGTCCTAAGCAAAATGAAGTAACCAGCACTGGATTTGATAAGAAGGTACTCTCCAGGGAACTCGTATTTGCATAGCCTTTTCCCATGAACCTATCTCAAACTACTTTTTAAAATAACGTTATGAGGCTTTGGGGCTTTTTGATAACAGCAATAGGGTTAAAATAATTTCCATGATGGGATATTTGATTCAGTACTGTGGAACATTTTGATTGAGGCACTACAGCTATGAAACATACAGGTCTAATTCAATACACTAATTACTGGGTAATAGACTTCAAGTGAAATTTCAGAGCTGTAAGCAATGCTGGGGAGATGAAGGTTTAGATGTCTCAGAAAAAGATGATGTTTCACAGGGACAGACTGCACAGCTGCCTAGAATAACAGAAAAGAAAAGGAAATATTATATAATTATATAATTCATCAGCATTTATATGTTCATATCTCTTTGACAATATAAACAGCTGTGGGCTTCATCTTTGCAGAGTATATTGCCCTGAAATAGTTCCTAGAAATTTTAGGACAAAGTTAACATAGGGTTGCTTTTTTTTTAATCAAATTCATTCTTCTCCAAGACCCCAGTCAAGTGGCTTTGTTTTGGAGAATAAGGCACGTTTATTACCCATTAAAATAAATGCAGAAATGAGGCTTCTGAGTTTCAGACATGAGTTCTAAGTGCTTGGTGTGACTACTAGACCACCTTCCCTCAAGAATCTTCTTCCTAGAATTCATGAAGTTGTTATTATGTTATTAATTTTGAAAAGATTGCTCTTCTTAGATCAATTTAAATGTAAAAGCGAGTTTTTTAATTGAGTTGCATCTTCATTACTCTATTACGGTATAGGTAAAACAAACTAATTTCCCCAGATCTGAATTTCTATGAACATGCAGAAGTGCACAGCAAAATTTATTTCATTTGCATCAGTGAAATAGCAAGAGCCGTCCTTGGCCACTGAAATCAGTTTGTGGCTCTGTAATATAAACAGTTTTTATCAATGAGCCCAGAGCAAACCTTAAATCATTATTTATACAATCTCTAAATAATACAAATAGTGGTAATATACATAAGTACTGAATATATATATATATATAAAAATATTGGAAAGAAAGAAAGAAAGGACTTTTGAAACAGACCTGGACCATTTTGGTAAGTAGGGTTCGAATTGGCATTGTATTGTTCAGCACGGGTAAATGAAAAACTTGGGGAAAACATACTACATCTTTTTAGAACTCACTTTACCTTCAACGAGAACACTACTAAGAATGTTTGGAGATTATGATAGAAAGCTGGTTAGCTGGCTTCTTTTGTGTTTGTTTTCAACTTCCTTCCTAACACTTGCACTTCTACAGACAGAAATGATGATCTTTTAACTCCACAAATTGATTAGTCTCGAAAAGCAAAAGCAATGCTGGACTATTGTCAAGCAAAAATAATTTTTTTTCAGAAATGAAATATAAAAAATTTTGCTTTAGCTCTTGATTTTCTTTGCAGTTCTAACTCCTGTCTAGGGAATGCTCATGGAGGAAAGCCCTGTTTCAACATCTGTCTCAGAGAGGGATTAGATGGATAAGATATGAAAGGCCAGGGTAGAAAAAAGGTCTGTGTTGAACCAGGAAGAGATTTTTTCACTTACGGCCATTTGAAGTGAGAGGAGGAAATGGAGAATGATGGCAGGGGCAGGGGGAGTGGGATTGGTGAGATGTAGGCATCTCACACGTATCATTGCTGCTTTTGGAAAGCTGAAATTAAATATGCTAACACTACGGCTGAGACATCTTTGTGGATCTACCCATATCAGTCCTTGATATTATCAGAAGAACAGTTAGTTCTATGCCAAAAGCTGTTAATAACCTATATCATAGGAAAGCTCACTTCATACTGGTACCTGGAGTTAGTACTGATAGAATATTTAGATTCTGTAATTTACACATTGGCCCTTACTAAATCCAGGAGCTATTTTTCAGTAAAGGCATAATTGAAAACCTCAGGTAACCAGGGGGGGGGTTTGTATGCTGTATTATATGTGCAATGTAGTTGTGCAACTGAGAAGGACCAAATCCAAATATCCTGAGCTGACATAGAGACCGTGTTTAAGAAACATCAAGACTTGCTGTGAGCAGAACCACATTGCTGTAGCAGGACACAGAGGTATAACACATGGTGCTATGCTTTTAGCTTCACGATCTGAGGAAAGGTAGGAAGCATATATGCAGCCTCATATCTGTGCTTTTATCTGCTTTTGTTATTGATCCCTAGGTCCTATGGGAGCCACTTATTCTACAATGAGTGATTGATATTTAAATTTATGTTTACCATTTAATCTTCTGGCTGCTATCTCCTTTGTCAGTAAGTCTAGACCTGTTTATAGGCTACAAGGCAAGATGGAAATGTGAACTCCAGCCAGTAACATTATCAGAGTTGCTCTAAACCTGCTAAATCAATAAAACCAGAGGCAAGGGTTCATAAATCTCTCTGTGTGTATATAGCTGCCACGAACCAGCTCCTTCTGTGAGCCTGCATGTGGGCTCCAAATAGAGTTCCTGGCAGTTCATCTTTCTGGTCTAGAGGTACATCCGTGATAAAGCAGATTTAATGGGGAAGACCTCGCAGTGGAATAACATAAGCTGCATGTTTTCTTTCTTCCCTCTCACCAAAAAGTTAATATTCAATTTCTCTCCTGTCCAAGTCAGATTAGCTTCCCATAACAGCACTCACCCATGACAGTCTCCAGTATTTTTGTTCATGACAAATTGAGCTCCATGAACTAGAACACTTAGTTTTGGAGCTGGCTGCAATGGATGCTGGAAGAGCCTTGAGCATTTCCATTTGGAAAGGGGCAAAGCTATGTATTTATATTCTAGCTTTCTGCCTGCGTGTCTGAGTGTATATGTAATTTAATGCCAAGCTAGAAAGTTCATATATGAATTGCAAAACTAGTGTAATCTGCAGTGCATGTAGAAAGGAATAGTTTCATTTATGGAGCACAACACACAGTGATATCTGTAATCCTTTGGTTTTGTTAGCCAAAAGAAAGTCTTGTTATTTTTTATTTGTGAAGAATCAATATTTTAGCAGTTTCTCAGTATAAATATTATATTGTGTACTTTATTAATACTGGAGTGGATTGAATCTGTTGAGTTAGATTTAAAGAGAAGGCATTAGCTTATTCCTTTTTTTATGTTTTGTCCTTTATTTTTTAGCTGTTCCAGTCATAAATGCAATGTTTCACTCCCTACGTAGCATAAATTCTAAAGTTTCATGGGAGTTTTCAAAACTTATGAAATAGAGGAAGAAGTGAAATAAAAAACTTAACAAGGTTTCAAGTGCATCAGAAGCAAGAAGCGTAACAAAGAGTCTGCAGAGTCAACAGATTTAGCTGTAAAAGAAGCTTTCCGGAAAGATAAGGTCATTAAAGAAAAACTAAATGAAATCTTTACTTAGTAAGGGAGGTTTCCACCACAGCTTTTCTTTATAGAGATCTGAGTCTGATGGGCTGTTTCAAATTGCAGTGTCAGAAGAGATTTTTGAATAAAATTTATCAAATGAGAAGTAGGAAATCAGAAGGACCAGATGGTGTTCACACAGGTTTTCTGAAGTATCACACGTGCCAATGTGAAAATGTTATGTGTAATCTGTCACTTAAAATCAGTCTCATTCCTAGAGAAACAGAAAACAACAAATGTGATACCATCTTTAAGCCATCCGGAAAGATTTGCAGAAGTATAGATCAGTAAGTCTCACTTCCACAGAGGAAACTATAGAAACTATAATAAAATTTATACTTAGTAGCCTCAAGGAAAGACTTGATCTAGTAAGGAAGACTCAAAACTGCTTTTCTTGGTGAAAGTCAAGTTCAAATATTAAATGTTTCTTTAAAATAGTGAGCACGCAAAGAGCTTTCCAGCAGGCACAGAGGATAGAGGGGAAAATGAAAACTTCATTAAGCCACTGTATGAATCCATGCTGAGTGCTGCATGCAGGTCTAACTCTTGAATATCAAAGTGTATAATAGTCTTAAAAAACATACAGAGAGAGAAACCATGTTAGCACAGGAAAGCTATGAAGAAAGGACAGCTATCTTCTGAGACTGCAGCATCACTGAGAGTCAAGCAAATTCATTTTATTGGAAAAAGCAATTTCAGATTACTGATGACAGGAAAGGAGAAATCTTTAAAGTCTTATAAAAATGTCATGGAACACACATGCAAAGTTTAGAGACAAATAAATTGCCATCTGTTTCAGTCTTTTGTTGTGTTTGCACTTAGAGTCATCAGAATAAAAAGATGTCTCCTGGTTCTCTTGAGCTGTGAACAGGGGATGATTTTCCCTAGTGTAGCAAAAGGGCTACTGTTAAGTGGAGCTTAAAGGTAGTTACTGAATACCTTTTGTGGAAAGAAAGGGTGACAATACTTCTCCAAATGGAGAGGAAACAAAAGTCTGAAATTTGGAAGAGTTAAAACTCCAGTGAGAATGGCTGGTTTAACCAGGACTTTATTTCCGCACCACTTTTAGTGCTTGTTTCTCATATTTCCCTTGCCATCCTTCAGGATTATCTTCTGCAAAATCTGGTTCTTGCAGGCACAAGGAACCGCATGTGAGGGTTCAGCACATTTGAGGTAGATATTAAGTCAGGGAACAAGGAATGGGAGTGGGTGGATCCTTGTTAGCACAAAGGAATTGATCCCATGTGTGAAAGAAAAATACTCATCTGCACTGTAGGCAATATCTGGGCAAGCCCAAAATTCCTAGGCCTGTTTCCCCAGTATTGAAAGATCATGACACTCACAGACATTTTCTAAAATGCTAAAATCCTGTGATCAATTTTCGTGGAGTTTAAAAGCATCCATAGCTGGCAGGGGAATGGAATAATAGCACTCACATTACTAAAAGGAATTAGATTTGCAGCAATACCAGGTATAATTGCTCTTTCTTCTCTTTTATCTTTATTTAGATTTATGTACATGGGTAAGGATCTCTCTGTCTTGCCTAGGGGATTTGGGTTTTTTAATGGTATTATAACAAATAATTACAAGTAATATTGCAATGAGCAATTTTAGAACCGTAGCCTGTCCTCCTCTTCCAGTGTTTTATGTGACTTCTTTTGGAAATGGATCTTTTAATCTATCACAAGGGTTGTGACCATAACGTCTGTGTCTAAGAAGAACATCATACATGTGTAAGCACACAAGCACTCATAATACTACAGGCCACATTACAACAAGAAATTATTTCTCCTTTCACCATTCTTATGCACAGAAAACACCTCTTTTTATATGCCTGATATTCCCCCTGACATCTACAGCAATTATGTGCACAATAAGGGGGTGTCCCAGTAATATTTCTAAACCTTTCACTTCACAGAAGGAGTCATTGCTGAGTGTTTTCTTAGCAAAAGGCAAAGCAAGTAGACTCTCATCTTGATTAAAACCCTCTGACTCTCGGAATCTTCTGCTAAATTATATTTGTCATACAGGAAGGGTGTAGGAGGGAGGAAAAGAATTGAAAAACTCCATTCTTGTGTCAATTATCAAGTGTTTTAAATTTAGAGATTTTCCCATCAACTAGAAACTAAATCCATTTGTTTTTTGCCAGATAAAATGGGTGAAGATGCCATTTCTAAAGTGTGTAAAGACTTTGTGGTTCATTTCACAATAATATTTGTTGAACTTTTGTGGCACGCTTTCAGAGGAAGCAAGACGGGGCTGTGTTAGTCATGATTCGCTAAATAGTACGTACTAATCCTTCCTAGTTTTTGTTTATTCATGCCTTGCTGTGGGATTTACAGCCTTAGCTCATGGAAAGAAAAAGAAAATCCCAGCAGATAGTGGAATGCAGCCTTCCAGTCTGCTGCTTGGAGGCAGGTTTGGATATTTCTGTCAGGAGGACTTGCTTCGATTCTGACAGAAACCCAGATGCACAGGGAATGAGGAAAAGGAGCAGAAAGAGTTGATCTGCTTCTCTGGTGACAGCATGTGAGACTGGGAAGACCAAGTTCCACATGCAAGATGACCTGGAAATCAGAAGTACAGCAGGCCAAGCTGCACCTTTCTCCTTAGAGGCGTTCAGATCCCTGCCATGGCTGCTTACAAATAAAACTGCCATCAGTTACTGATCATCTTGCTTTGGGTGCCTCAGGACATCTCCAAGCAATGTCACAGTAAGGAGGGGAGTGCAAGCTGTGCTAGAAGTGTCCCCATGAGCTTTACCTCCAGCCTCATGAGGTTGTTTCAAAGGTTGCTTTCATTCTCATCTCTCCAGGCTGAGCTGACTGATAAGGGATCTCCTCTTATTTTTTTCTCACCTGCTCTGAAAGAGAATCTGTTCGTTGTGAGAAGCCCTTTTGTCAGAGGAGGGTGTCTCCTCTTTGTTCTGTCTTCTCTTGACTCTCACTGGCCATAACCTTGGTGGAGCTGGAGGAAGGAGTGAGTCACTGCCATGGGTGGTGAAGCCCTGTCCCACTGGTGGAGAGCAGGTGTGGAGGGGTGGCGAACAAGGGAGCAAGTGTGTTGAAATCCTGCATGTGCTTTTCCGGTTCAGGTGATCCTGCCAGTGACAGATCTAGTCTGAACTTCAGCTACCACTGAGGAGGGCTCAGGCAATGGGAGTGGAAAACCAAAGCCTGTGGTACATAATGAAGTCCTTATGTGCTGAAAACTCATATTTGATATGCCATAGATGGAGATGTTGACAGCCGCAATCTGTGCTTTGCAGGAAAAGGTTTCGAAGAGAAAATACGCTGCCTTTGCAAATGCTGGCATAGAGCCAGCATGGGCCTGCAGAGCATTAGGTCTGTTCAGTGATGGCTCCCATCAGAGAATGACAGAAGAAATAATTTCTTTTTTCTTTTTTTTTTTTTTTACTTTGGTGCTCAGTTTCTGAGTACGTGGAACAAGAATCACAGCATCCAAGAGGGTTATATTTCTGTTCCTCACCTGTCATGGACTTGGTGTGTGAAGTTATGCAAGTCTGCTCTGTTCTGGGCACCTTGATTTCTTCATCTCAAGTCTTTGCAATTTTGGGAAACCAAATATCAAATATTAACTAAAGTCACTTGATGCCATTGGTCAGTTAATCCTCAAAAAAGTCACATGTTTAGCAAATCTCTCCTTTCCAGTGAAAATGCTTTTTCCTACACAAAGTACTGTGAAAATTATGTGGTAAGACTCCATAAACAGGATGAATGTATATTCTGTGGCTGATACATGAGAGAGAAAAGACCCCAGCTGCTTCTTCCTGAGCTACTTGGAAATGACTGGGATGACAGGACTCAAAAGCGTGTATACTTCATTAGTTTAGAGCTGACCGTACCTTGTTTTTCTGATCCACCAATTTGGAAGCAAGTATTCTTAATCGTAACACAGCATTTTAACATCCCTTTTGAACTGTAGTAAGAACTTCTGGCTTGACTGCTCTAGCACATTATCTATCCAGTTCACACATCTTTTATCAGTAGTCAGTGCTAAGGTTATCTCTCTTCGTTATTTCTCTTCACTTATTCTTGTAATATTGGACTCAGATTTGCAAGACCCAACTTGTGATCACAGGTTAGACAATCTCACTCTAGTTGGCATGATGTTAAGTAGCTATTCTGCCATCCCAAACTGTAATACAAGAATTTTTACCCAGAATTAGACTGAGACCCCAAACCCAAATCCCTCAGACCCCAAAACCACGTTGAGCATTCATACTGTATACAGTGGTCCATCATATCCATATGATTTTATCCCTCTTGTTCACCATATTACCAGAGGTTGACAATCACCCACACTTGCCACACTGTGCTTAGTGGTAGAGGAGATGCTTGCATCAAGCTACTGTAGATTTTACTGATACAGGAATTCTCCTCAGTATTTCTATGGTAGGGTGGCCATGACCCACACGTCCAGCTAACACATCCACAGGTAGCTTGGCTGTATCAGCATGGAGATATATTTATAGCTACTGCTGTGTCTCTTGGGAGAGCAGCTGTACCAGTTTGCACCTGCAGGGCTGCACCCCTGGCTATAGTTAGGTATATATACCAAATGTAGTTCTTTTCTTTTGCCTTTTCAAATTTCTCAAAATGAGGTACTTAAATAATATTTAAAAATGAAGACTTCCCATCTGTGGTGGCACTTTCATTGTGCATGCTCTGTCAGTGATTCCTCAGATCTCCCCCTTTTGTCTAGCCAATAAGTCACAAGCTGTTTTCAAATTAAATGAGATCCAGTGTGAAACACCTAATTTCATACATAGGAATGAGGGCAGGATAGAATGGTACATTTACTAGATCTCATTTTAGGTTTTTTGAACAACTGTGATAGTTTTTGCAATAAATTGAAATTTGTATTTGACACTACTTTGATTTAATGTAGTTTTTTTTATTCTATATAGTAATCAGAGCACCAGTTTTAATTCAGGAGATCAGGAAAAACAATGGAAAACATTTATTTTCAGCTCATTTTTCAGTGCTGTTGCAAGATAAATGCCTGTCCCAAGAACAGATTTTTCTGTTACTCATATTATATTCTCAGAATATAAGGGATTAAAGGCAGAGTAAGAACTAGGTACAGAAGTCTCTAAATTATATAATAAAGTGTATGTAATAAAAAACACCCTCTCCTCTCAGCACTGCCACTTCATATTTTATTCTTCAAAACATTGTCTTCCAAAATTGTGATCCTGTCTATTAAGACCACGATGCTGAAGTCTGCTGTTATGTCTACTGTGAGGCTACTGATGGCCTGACAGGCAAAGCATACAACTCAGTTCTAGCTCAGTGCCATTTATTTCAACAGTTTTCCTCCCAGTTTTCTGCTGTGTACAAAGCAAATTATAGGCACTTATATAATAATATTGTATTTCAGGATGCAAGCAGCAGTTCTGGGGAATTCAGCATTAACATTGTCATGCTTCATTCAAGGTGGCAGAAAAATGGGCATTAAAACATTTGGGTAAGTGTTCCCCCTGTTTTGAGTAATTTCTTACAACAAAACAAAACCTGGAATGTTTTTGGGTAGCTGAAACTTACACAGACCCACATGCAGTTTTGGAAATGTCTGGTTCAGATGATAGCATGGCCTGCAGAGCCTATAAAACTGCATTCATTTCTACTCCTCTCTATTCAAAATTGAGTTGCTTTTAGCCATGTCTTTCCAAAATTATCTCACATTAATACCTTGCACTGTTGCTGCCAATTTATGTTCTTATGAGGAGTAAACAGTGGATTTAGTTATATAAGGACTATCTTATACTCCTGCAGATACCATGGAAATTTTCACAGAATTACAGAATGAGTCAGGTTGGGAGGGACCACAGTGGGTCATCTGGTCCAACCTCCCTGCTCAAGCAGCGTCATCCTAGAGCACATGGCATAGGATTGCATCCAGACAGTTCTTGAATATCTCCAGTGAGGGAGACACCACAGCCTCTCTGTTCCAGTGCTGTCACTGCACAGTAAAGAAGTTCTTCCTCATATTCGAGTGAAACTTTCTGTGCATCAGTTTCTGTCCATTGCTTCTTTATTGCTTGGCACCACCGAGAAGAGCCTGGCTCTATCCTCTTGACATGCTCTCTTCAGATACTTGTAGACATTGATGAGGTCCCCTGTCGGTCATCTCTTCTTGAGACTGAACAGGTCCAGATCCCTCAGCCTTTCTTCATGAGAGATGCTCCAGTCCCCTGATCAACTTTGTTGCCCTCTGCTGGACCCACTCCAAGAGTTCCATGTCTCTCTTGTACTGAGGAGCTCAGAACTGGACACAACGCTCCAGATGTGACCTCACAAGGGCTGAGTAGAGGAGCAGGATCACCTCCCTCAACCTGTTGGCCATGTTCTTCCTAATGCACCCCAGGACATCATTGGCTTTCTTGGCATGAGGACACACTGCTAGCTCATGGAAAGCTTGTCATCCACCAGGACCTTGAGATCCTTCTCTGCAGAGTTGCTTTTCAGCAGATCAGCCCGCAGCCTGTGCTGGTGCCCAAGGTTATTCCTCCCCAGGTGCAGGACTCTACATTTGCCTTTGTTGAATTTCAGGCAGTTCTTCTTTGCCCATCTCTCCAACATGTCGAGGTCCTTTAAATTTTTATTATAATCTATCTTCTCTGTAGTGCAAATGTGTCTCCAAAAAAGTTAGTAGCAAAGTGAAATAATTTCCACATTAAAACAGTATTCAAAATCATATCTCGCTTTTTGTGGGAATGTTATGGGGTAGCAATGCTACCTACCTTCAATTCAGCTGGTGAGGTTCCACCTACCTTCCTACCACCCTATATCCTGCTGGGAATGTATGTCCATAGGCATTTGCAAATTTAGACTTGAATTGAGAAGTATGAATACAAGGGGGAAAGTTATTATTTTTCTAATTAGATCAGATTATTAGATTCATGTTTACAATTGAGACAGTAAGTTGTTGCACAAAGTTTTCATTTTGGAAGACAGGCAGATATTTGCCAAGTTGGAAAGAGAGACAGAAAGTGGCAATGCAAATACAAAATACATCTTTATCATCTTTTCCTTGAATTGTTCCTACCATCCACGTTTCTGGTGACATCTGCCTTTGCTCAGCGAATGCATGTCATTGCAGTTCCGTCACCTTATGCTGAGTAATTGAAAAAAACCAACATATACCCGGCTCAGCAATACCCTGTTTACAGGAGAAAACCTTTAATTTCAGCACTTTCAACTTGGAGTACTATTTGGAAACATTTAGCTCATAAAAAGCCTTACAGTTCATGCTTTGACCTTATCATGACCTGAACATTTTGTTAGCAAAGTACCCTGTTAATGTTTTGACCAAAAGAACTAATGTACTTGGGTTTAGTTGTGTTGCCAAAGTGGTGCTTGCTCCTAAAAAGGGAAAGTTTTAATTCTATTTTCAAAAGCAATGCCTTACTCCTAACTATATATGGAAATGTCATCAATCAGTCCTGAAAACAGTGTGCACTGCAGTGCATTTTAATAGCTTGTGTTCCTGCATTCGGTGTAACAAATCTCACCATACTGGAGCTTGTAGCGGAAGTATTTTGCTATATCTGTTTTGCCTCTACTAGCTTGAGTAGATGTGAATATAACTTTTGTTTTAATCACCAACAATGAAGTATAAAGGAGCAAGCTAATCAAAAGAGCGGATAATAAAATGCATTGCCACTCCCAGACATATTTACAACAGAATTCCCTGACTAAGATGTTTTTGCTGGTGTTCTTTTTTTAATTAAGAAGTAAATCACCTAAAAGCCTTCACCCTCCACAGGTACAACCTTCTGTTGTTGGCCTTTTTTTAATGTAATAAACAATAATGTAGCTAAAAAATGGATTCTAAACATTTTGATCAGTGACCTATTAATACGTACCAAAGGGCTTCAGCAACCAAAAACCACCTTCTAACTTAAAGAGGTATGTTATTTAAGCATTAGACCTACCAGGAATGCCAAAGGGTAGTTGTTTCTTAAGTAGGCAGTGAGCTCAGACTCTTTGGTCTTCATCTTTATAAACCAAATCCCAAGAAATCCCTGAGAGATAAATTCAGCAGCAATGAAAGTAACAATCACCTGGAAATACTGCAACAGTAATGAAAGGCAATAATTAAGAAGGGTTGTACTAGACAAATCAGAACCAAACCCTAAAAAACACAGTTCACTGGGAAGTACTGCCTGTGCAGTTACCATTTATGAGCCACTTAACTGTATTTCATCTGCATCTTTTAAATTTTTGGTAAGTGTTCATCAAAACTGAAAAGCAATATATAGTGTACATATTTTAAAACAGTCATATTAACACCCATCTTTTTATTTTTATTTTTTTTTTGTATGAAGATCATCAAACATTTTGGTTTGATTTTGAAGTTTTTTTCATTGTCAGTTATCTAACTTACTACTCCTTCGTACAAAAATAACAAGCCTTTCTCAGTACTTTCAGAATTGCATTTTAGGAATTCAAAACAGTCATAGTTGATTGGATTAATATGGAAAAGGGGCTTCTGCAAGCCCCTGGTAGAAAAGTTTGCATGGAATAAAATATCAGTTGACAGGATCAGAAAAAAAAAGTGAAAGAGGATAATAAACAGGAGGTTTTGTGTCTTCTTAAAATATTTTCAGCTAAATGTGGAACAGCAGAGGCTTTGTCAAAATTAGCAGTCAACATGATGTAATTGTGTAGGATAAAATCTATTTTGTTGGTGAGGAAAAGAAGACTATTGTAACTTACTTAGCTGCAGGATATGGTTTCTGACACTTCATCAGCACGTTCTTATTAATATGGAGGGTGAACATTATTTGTGTCAAAATTGTCATTCGGAGCTCTCACTTCCCAGCAGACTTCAGGTTCTTAGTAATATGCAAACTCACACAGTTATGTATATTTTGGGGTTCGAACTCCATTTGAGGCCAGAGTAAAAGTGGTAGATAAACAGAAAGAGAAACCCTCCACAGAGCTCAAACTACTGAGCACAGATTTCCAAATTTAGAGTATTTTAGGTAGGAAGCCTGATTAGAAAACAGAATTCATAGTTAGAGGGACTTATTTGGTCTCTACCCACGTTTGCATCACCCTCTGCCTTGAAGAGATTATGCTATATATTTGAGAATGTTCAGCTAATTAAAATGTTTACATTAAATGCTGAAATCATGAATTACAGTAGGCAGATATAAACTTTATGAGAACAATTAGATACGTTTTAGATTTAAGCCAATAGCTCTGTTAACCAGGGTTTGGGGGAAATCTCCTTCAGCAAGTGTATTTTCATGAACAGTCTAGATGATGGAAAACAGAAAATCCTTATTAAATCTGCAGACAATAGGAAGGGTAGAGCTTCAGACATGTTGAAAAGCTCAGAATGATCCTGAAAACTAAAGTTGCATGAAAAAAACCAGGATGGTATTCAACAAGGAAAAACACGAAGTTCTACACTTAGCCAGAAGGAATCAGCTTCTTAGATGCACGATGGGGAAAACTGCTTGGGTGGACAAGGACAGAAAGATCTTGGGGTTATAAAGTATTGCTGGCTGAGTATAAATCAGCCACGTCATCCTACTCTGGACAGGCCAAACACTAAGCTAGGACTTATAAACACAAGAAAAGACATGCAGCAGCTTCTGTCCTACTCGGAAAATAACACCTGCTATTCTGTTTTAGCCAGTTTTGGTGTTTCTACTTCTCGATCCACTCCAGCTCTATTTTCTAGGATGATTGTTACTCTAGACTTTGGAATACCTTCTTCAGAGGACATGGAGCCAGCCACTGTTGGTGAGGACATGCAGAATGAGTGGGGCTTCTGCTGTTCCTCCATACTCCGCTGCTCTGCTGAACGCAGTGCCCCTCATAGGGGACTGGGCTGCTCGTTTTGCATAGTTTTGGGTTTTTTTTTTCATTTTCATTTAAGGAGTTAGGCCCAAACACCAGATCAGGCACTAGTTCTGAAATGTTTTTGTTCCTAATTTCTCCAAAACTCTAGGCTCACCTCCAAGTCCTTCAGATGGGAAAATGCCGTATCACATTTGTATTGTCTTTACCTTGGTAGTTCTGCTGCACCGCCAGGCCAAACATCTGTGGGATGGAAGGGAAGACAGGTCTCCAAGTATTGCACATAACTCACTGAGGGGAATGAAGAACTTTTATATTCATAATTTTACTTAAGTTCCGGCCAGTCAGTAAACATCCTTATTCTGAAAAATATGTTGAACAGCTATTGAAATCTCACATTTTCTTCTGCTGGCTTTTAGAAACCTTCCTTAGATTTTGCTTTTTCTAATTTGTTTCTGATTAGAACAAAGACATTTATTTGTTCCGACATTTTTTCTTTATTCCGTAAGCTGTATGCCCTTCAGAAAGCAGAAACTGTCTGGTCACAAATGAATTATCATAGATTGCATGGGGAATGGCCTTATGAGGAAAACCAGCCACTGCTGAAGTCCAGTATTCCCTTTTGCCTACAAAAGACTTAAACCTTTGACATTTCTATTGCAAGCTAGTAACTATACTGGTTTTAGTTCAACCCTCCAGACAACACACCACCTCCCTCAAGTGGTCAGCATAGTTAAGATTGTTTTTTCTGCTTCAAGGGCTGTTTTCTGGCAGTGCCCAAAGAATGTGTTGAAGAACACACTTTTTATAAACATTATTAATAGATCGAGTTTAAAAAATTCTGCCAAAAAAGAGTATTTTGGATGGTAGAAAGAGATAAGAATCCCACAGAAACAAATACTTAGCTGGCATCGCTTGGGCACTGTAGGCTTTTGATGAGAAGAAACCAAAATAGCTGCTTTTTTGTGGATGGGCTCTAATAGCTTTCTGCCTGCGGTTACAGGCATTCAGTTACGGTCACTGCCATGGCAGGGATTGTATAAGTGCATAAGCTAATCAAAACAGTGGCAAATTTGGAAAAGCAGCACCATTAATTCTGATGGCTTGCTCAAATCCTCGTTGGAATAATTATAGTTTTCTTCTTTTGTTCAAAATTCTCCCCATTTAGAAACAGTTCTTTTGTAATTTGCTGTCTAATATGTGCTTGCAGTACAAACTGGAACAATGGTGAGGAAGAGCTCACAGGAACTCAAACCAGAGTTGCATAAATTTAAAACAGCAATAATGATGGTAAGAATAAAAAAAGAGAGTAAATAGAAATCTTCATACTTCAAGAAGCAACCCAGTCATCACTGCCAGGGTTCAGAATAAAATTTGCTCATAGAACAGTGTACTATAGAGTTACCTTACAGAGAGACATACACTCTACACATGAAGCAATGCCTTTGTATGTACACTGACAATATCCAGCATGACAATAGGTATAGAAATTCCTGGTAATGCAGCCAAATCATGCTCATCTACACATCAGTGGACACCTGTGAAATTCTGCAGGTATTATCTGGGATGAAACCAAACATTCACACAGACTACTACTGCCCTGTCAGTGCCCAAACACCATGATAACCTCATATGAACAAAGACTGATAGAAAACAAAAAGGAAAGCAGTTCAGGTAGAACTGGGTAAACAATGAAAAATCAAGAACAGCATAAAAAATATTCTAATTTATAGTCTCACAAAAAAATCTAAATAAATCTATCTATCTTACAAAAAGCTATGCAACACAAAGGCTTAGAGAGAAAGAAAAAAACCTCAATGACCAACTGACCAACAAGTTAAATTAGTATAGGAAACACAATTCTCATTTCAAGGCCCAAGTCAGTCCCCAGCAGGAGTCAAGAATAAAATTGTGAAGTATGACACATATAGACAAATATATTATAAGCGTTGCTCTTGGTAGAGGCAATGTTCTGTTCTAGGAAGTAATTTCTGTCTTTCTTTTGCTGGGTAAAACTGCAATCAGGTAGCTCCAACCACTTCTTTTAACAAAAGCCTGCTAATTAAAGCAACACTATCCAGCCTCCTTCTTGGCATTAATGAAGTGACAGAGGAAGGAAGCCTTAAGCATTCATTTTCCTCTCAGAGCATCTAATATCCCACACTACAGCCAGTAGAAAAATGTTAACACATTTCCTGACTAAGGAAAGAAAAAAAAGAGGGAGAGAACATATTTAGCACAAAATCTTGAAGTACAAAGTTGCTTTTAGCAGTCTGTCTGAAAGCTGTTGAAAGGATAATGTCCTCCACATATTTGAAAGAAACATAAGTGGTGTGAAAAAAGGTCCTTCTTGCCTTACTACAGCACCAGGGTGGTTTAGGTTGACTGTTGCAGATCTCTGAAAAATATGGCCAAATCAGACTGTACACACCTTGCAGATGTTGTGACAGAAGCACAGCTAAAGACAACAGCCCTTAGCTTGTAGTACAGATGTGAAGAGGTACAGAGGAAGGAGATGAGTTCAGATAACTTGGAAGATCATTGCTAACTTTATGTGATTAACCTACAGCTACAATCCCCATCTAGTTGTCTGCTATTTTCCCTTATTCTGTGGCTCCACCTTGAGCTGCCTTTCATTTACTCTGGTGTCTGAGAAGCCTTTAGAAAGAAAAGAGATTCTTTGGTACTAGATGCGAGCCAAACCAAACTCCTGCCTCTAAATATCCCTGAAGCTTAGAATTGCTTGAAATTTAAACTTATATCTAGATCCACATTTGGCTCCTTGTAGTCATCTTTACACCTTTTTGTTTAAAAAAATAGCATTGTCTGATTCCCCCAACTTTTTTCACTTCAGCCTTTTGAGTCATGGTCAGATTGGCTTACCAGAGGCCCTGGTAATCTAACATACACATCCCATTCCCCCGCCTTTTCACTTCATAATCTTCCAGAGATGAAATTCAAGATTGCCCACTAATTATAACAGGACAGCTTCTCAGACAGATGACTTTCCAAGTAACCTTCTCATTCCACTCATTTTCAGGGAATGACAAAGTATGCCAGAGCGTTATGTGATGACGGACGAGGGCCAACACTACAATTTATGTTTGTGACCTGGCACATGGATGGAAACAGAGAGTATGATTCAGTGGTTTTTGCAGGCTTAATCCCTACTAAAGAGTGGCTCTGCCAAGGTAAACGTGGCATTTTAAATGAAACTGCTTTGCATACACTGCATGGAACCTGAGATCCCACTTTTGTACTGCGGTTTCCTTCCAAAATGTAGCTACTGCCTGACAGGGCAGAGTAAGTGTGCAGTCTGGGCTCCCCTGTGTTAAGAGTGTTTGGTCTGCTTCAGCAAATGGCAGTGATGAGCAGACTGTGCAAAAGGAGTGAGACGTTATTTGAACATGTATATTCCCAAGGCTAAGAAGAGGAGCAAAAATAAAGGCTGGATCCCACTTTCCTTCCCCACCCAGGCAACTCCCAAGCAACAAAATCCAAATTAGGCTCCACATTTGTAATAACATCACATTTCCTGGTAAATCAGTTATTATTCTACAGACCTAGGAAAGGCCATATATCTCATCATTATGTCCACAACTAAACCAAGATTTTAGCACTGGGAGCAGTTTCCTTTCTTCCCTCTCCATTACTTCCTTCGTGCTCTTTCTGAAAATAAAATATTGATCACTTTGAAAAAGGAGGAAGAAAAGGAATACAAAAGGAATACAATAGGAAGAACTATCTGGGTGCTTAGGTAATGAATGCATTCCAGAGATGGGGGAGCTGTGAAGTTTGTGATTGGCTTTGGTGCACATTGGCTTGCAAAAGAGTATAAAATGCTGCTGGAGATTGGGCAAACTGGGCAAACTGGTCTCCCAAGATTTCCCAAGATTGCAGGCAGCTTCCTGATGGGTTCACACATACATACACACCAGTTCCCAGCCAGAGACACCTGCAGGGTACGTCCAGCCCAAAGACTGAGAACATTCACTTTTGGATGGGTGAGTAAAAGTGCAAAGGTTCCATTCACTCTTTTAAAAAATATTTTCAAGGACAGAAAAGGGAATAATCCCATGGATTTTTCTAGTCAAACAGGTTTGAAATGGACTCTTCTTTATATCAACAGAGGTGCCAAGAAGGTTTACTATCTGCCTTCACCATCCTAAATATTTTAGCTTAGCCACTGTTACTCCACCACTTCTGTCCTCCTCTAGCTTCCCCAGTAAATATGTCCCTGACCAACTGGATGCAAATATCACTGTCTTGGTTTCAACTGCCCACCCCCCCCAGGTTCATGGGGGCCCTGAGTTAGAGTTAGAGCTGACTGGTCCCAGGACAGTCTTCCCTCAGGAACAAATCAGAGCTGGTCTTATTTCACTCCTGTGAAAATTAGATATCAACAGCTAGCCAGAAGTGAGTTGGCAGAGTTGTGTGTGAGAGTGTGCGAGAGAGTAGCCAAGGGATGGACAGGGCCCCCACTCGGGGCCCTGTGCCCCCATGGCCCTGGCCAAGCCAGAGCTGAAGGTAGCGTGTAGGAGTGTGTATGTGCTCTGAGAGAGAGACTCACAACTGCTGAGGTAAGAGGAAGGGAGGCAGGCCTTTGGCCAAGCTCTCTTCCCCCCCCAGGACAGACTGCAGAGCTCGGGACAGCTCATAACTGGACCAAATGCCTTTAGCTAGTTAGGGGGCTTTCTTTCCCCCCACTGTATGGGGCAGATCTTAAGGTTCAGTATTTTAAGCTGAGCCAAGGAGATGGGCTGAAAGGAGCTCGGTGCCAGAAGAAGGAGAACTCCAAGCAAAATTGGAGACGGGCCAAGCAGGCTTGGAGGTGCCTATGTTGGGTTTGGACATGGCTACCGATATTGAAGCTGTAGCAGCTGGAGAAGAGTGAGAGAGCCAACTAGCAACGAGTGAGCTCCGGGTAAAGACTCAGAACAGCATCTTACCACTGGGAGGAAACCTCCACGAACCAAGGAGGACGGACTCAGAGCTATCTTCTTGGACCTCGTGATGGAGACCTCAGCAAGTAGCTGAGACAGGTGGGGGGGGTGGTTCAGAGGAACCCTTTTCCTGACACCCCAATGAGAGAGAGATTGTTTAACTATCAGCCTGAGGGCTTCTCCTGGACTGATTGTGGGAGGGGCTCGAGGGATGATAGAAGTGTGTTAATATTGTATATATAGAATTGCTTTTAGATGCTGCTGAGCTCTTTGGGCTGGAAGTCAGCTTAAAGAAGACAGAGGTCCTCCATCAACCTGCACCTCAGGAAGTCCCCCATCATCCCCATATCACCATTGGCCAATCAGAGCTCAAATCAGTCCAGCAGTTTAATTACCGAGGTAGCCTAATCTCCTCAGACGGTAAGATCGACGGAGAGATAGACAACAGGTTAGCAAAGGCATACAGTGCTTTTGGAAAGCTCCAC